AAGGCCCTACCGCTGTGCTATCGCTCCAGCCCTGTCACTGTCACTGTCACTGTCCTCCCATTGTTCATTGATTTGCTCGAGCGGGCCCAGTAACGTCTCCATTTTGAGACTTGTTTCTGTGTTTGGCATATTGAATGCGTCACGGGTAGCTTGCCAGGCTTTGCCATGCGGGCAATATACTCTCGGTAGCTTGCCAGGCTCTCCGAGAGGGGCGGAGGAACCGAACCCAGCTCGGCCAGGCTGGCTGTGTGCAAGGCAAACGCCCTACCGCTGTGCTATCGCTCCAGCCCTATGATATAATAAACGCTTATTTTCATTTACATAAGTAAGCCTTCAACTCTGTAATCTAAAATGTATTGCATTAAATTTTATTTTTATTTTTTTTTATATATTTTTTATTTATTTATTTATTTATTTATTTATTGAATCACTGTGGGAAAGGTTACAAAGCTTTCAGGTTTATGTCTCAGTAATGCAAATATCAAACACATTTCCCTTTACCAATACTTATTTTTTACCATGAAGAACCCCAATAAAACCCCACCCCCCACCCCTCCCCGTCCCTGTGAAGCAGATGAATTCTAGTTAACACTCTATCTGCTTTGATTAGAATCATTGTTTCAATAAAAGATTCACCACTATTATTTAGAGTTTACCCCCCCCCCCCCAAATCAGACATGCTGAAAAAGCATTGTGAAGTGATTTGCTTTCTACAGCTGGGTTAAAGAATTAAATGTTGGTTTTGGATTTCTGCTATTTTACCTATTGACCCTGGAAGTATTTCTACTGAAAGTCAGATAGTTAAGAAACTGGTTTCTGTGTTCTGGAGTCGTGGCCGTGCTGGAGAGCCGCTCGCGGGGGGCAACCGGTGGCCTCGGTAGGGCGTGAAGGGCGGAGCGAAACGCCCCCCTTCCCATGAGGTTTTAGTCGCCCCCACACTCCCGGCTCATACCTGCTGTCCACAAGGCACCCATGTGGCCGCCATCTTTCTTTCCAGAGAGGAGAGGGCGAATGGGGCAACACCCTTTCCCCTCCGGCAGACTTGATGGGCTGGATCAACGCATAGTCCGTTCACTTTTCTGCTCCAAGCTGCTGGGTTCTGCATTAAGTCCTTGTGCTTCTGGGGCCATGGCCGTGCTGGAGAGCCGCTCGCGGGGGGCGACTTGTGACCTCGGTAGGGCGTGAAGGACGGACCGGAACGCCCCCCGACCCATGAGGTTTTAGTCACTCCCACTCCCCCGGCTCATACCTGCTGTCCACAAGGCTCCCATGTGGCCGCCATCTTTCTTTCCAGAGAGGAGAGGGCGAATGGGGCAACACCCTTTCCCCTCCGGCAGACTTGATGGCCTGGGTCAACGCATAGTCCGTTCACTTTTCTGCTCCAAGCTGCTGGGTTCTGCATTAAGTCCTTGTGCTTCTGGGGCCGTGGCTGTGCTGGAGAGCCGCTCGTGGGGGGTGACTGGTGACCTCGGTAGGGCGTGAAGGACGGACCGGAACGCCCCCCTTCCCATGAGGTTTTAGTCGCCCCCACACCCCCGGCTCATACCTGCTGTCCACAAGGCTCCCATGTGGCCGCCATCTTTCTTTCCAGAGGGAGGAGGGCGGAAGGGAGCAACACCCTTTCCCCTCTGGGCAGAAATGATTGCCTGGATTAACGCATAGTCCTTTCACTTTTCTGCTCCAAGCTGCTGGGTTCTGCATTAAGCCCTTGTGCTTCTGGGGCTGTGGCCGTGCTGGAGAGCCGCTCGTGGGGGGCAACTGGTGACCTCGGTAGGGCGTGAAGGACGGACCGGAACGCCCCCCTTCCCATGAAGTTTTAGTCGCCCCCACACCCCCGGCTCATACCTGCTGTCCACAAGGCTCCCATGTGGCCGCCATCTTTCTTTCCAGAGGGAGGAGGGCGGAAGGGAGCAACACCCTTTCCCCTCTGGGCAGAAATGATTGCCTGGATTAACGCATAGTCCTTTCACTTTTCTGCTCCAAGCTGCTGGGTTCTGCATTAAGCCCTTGTGCTTCTGGGGCTGTGGCCGTGCTGGAGAGCCGCTCGTGGGGGGCAACTGGTGACCTCGGTAGGGCGTGAAGGACGGACCGGAACGCCCCCCTTCCCATGAGGTTTTAGTCGCCCCCACATCCCCGGCTCATACCTGCTGTCCACAAGGCTCCCATGTGGCCGCCATCTTTCTTTCCAGAGAGGAGAGGGCGAATGGGGCAACACCCTTTCCCCTCCGGCAGACTTGATGGGCTGGGTCAACGCATAGTCCGTTCACTTTTCTGCTCCAAGCTGCTGGGTTCTGCATTAAGTCCTTGTGCTTCTGGGGCCGTGGCTGTGCTGGAGAGCCGCTCGTGGGGGGCGACTGGTGACCTCGGTAGGGTGTGAAGGACGGACCGGAACGCCCCCCTTCCCATGAGGTTTTAGTCGCCTCCACACTCCCGGCTCATACCTGCTGTCCACAAGGCTCCCATGTGGCCGCCATCTTTCTTTCCAGAGAGGAGGGGGCGAATGGGGCAACACCCTTTCCCCTCCGGCAGACTTGATGGCCTGGGTCAACGCATAGTCCGTTCACTTTTCTGCTCCAAGCTGCTGGGTTCTGCATTAAGCCCTTGTGCTTCTGGGGCTGTGGCCGTGCTGGAGAGCCGCTTGTGGGGGGCAGCTGGTGACCTCGGTAGGGCGTGAAGGACGGACCGGAACGCCCCCCTTCCCATGAGGTTTTAGTCGCCCCCACACCCCCGGCTCATACCTGCTGTCCACAAGGCTCCCATGCGGCCGCCATCCTTCTTTCCAGAGAAGAGAGGGCGAATGGGGCAACACCCTTTCCCCTCCGGCAGACTTGATGGCCTGGATTAATGCATAGTCCTTTCACTTTTCTGCTCTAAGCTGCTGGGTTCTGCATTAAGTCCTTGTGTTTCTGGGGCTGTGGCCGTGCTCCAAACTTAACTCTGACTTTCAGGGAGAAAGATTGAGTGGTTTACTTCTTATTGATCACTTTGTATATAGGTGTCGCGCGGCCGCATAAGCGGCCGCGCGGTTTTGAGAAAAAGTCCTCGTTCCCGCATACTCGAGCTGTGTTTGTAGAGGCTTCTGGTCACCGGGGTTCCATCTGGGGGAGGTGGGATGCGGCACCTACTCCATCTGGAACTTGCGGGTGATCTTTTTGGAACCTGTTTTTTCTTTTTTTTTTCCCTCCGGGATCCCGCACCCTCCATGTGTTTTTTCTCTTATGCTGAACGCTTCAAAGATGGCGCTGGGGGGCGGGCTGTGGGCATGACTTCCGGAATCAGAGGTTACCTGGGAGGTGTAGTCCAGCAGATTTGAGAAAAAGTCCTCGTTCCCGCATACTCGAGCTGTGTTTGTAGAAGCTTCTGGTCACCGGGGTTCCATCTGGGGGAGGTGGGATGCGGCACCTACTCCATCTGGAACTTGCGGGTGATCTTTTTGGAACCTGTTTTTTCTTTTTTTTTTTCCCCTCCGGGATCCCGCACCCTCCATGTGTTTTTTCTCTTATGCTGAACCTAAATTTTATTTTATGTTTGAATCTCATTATGGTATCAATCATACCTTACCTGTCATTAGTAAAACCTGTCATTAGGAAAAACAGTAAAGAAATCCTGGGCTAGTGTATTTTGGGGTTTAAATGAAATAGGTAAGGTCTACTTATGTACATTTTTTCTCCTACACTTTATATAAACTCTGGTTTGCAAAGTTGTTCATGATGATTTGTTACAGGTATTCAATGTACCAACACCAACCCCACCACCATTCTCACCTTCCCTCCACCATTGTCTCCAATTTTCCCAACCTCCCCTCAAGCCTGTACCCATAGCAGGCCCACAATAATTTATTTTATACTGTTTGTTACCAATGAATCGCTAACAGAATGATCAAAAATATTTTATTAGATTAAAATTAATGTAAATTGCTGAATCTCACCATGCAGACATTAAATCTGTGTATGAGGGATTACTAAGATGTTGTATGTTAAGTCTTGTGTGCTGCAATTTGGTTAGTCAAGATTGGTTGCCTTCTGTGTTATAGTCCATCCAGTATGGTTTGCTACTTCCGGATTATCAGTGTTGTAGAGTTTGGAGATGTCACTTCAGGAAATCCAGAATTTTTTACTGTCCGGTGCAGCTGGAGTTAAATTTTTAACTGGGTGGCAAGTTTGGAGTGTAGGCATGATTGCCGGGGCTTTTAGAAGTACAGGGAAAAGGGAGGAGGTAGCCATCCTGACTCCAAGAAAGCCTGGAGATTTTAGTCACAAAGACTGCATACCTGAATTTTCAGCAGGTTAATTTCTGGGTGAGATTCAATCCTGAGACAATACTCAAGACATGGTGTCGATTTTGCAGTATGGGAGCAAGTGACTGCTGGGGCTCTGTTTGGACAGGCCCTGGGCTGGTCCACTCCAGGGTGCCCTGGATGTCTTAGTCAAGAGCGGCTGTCTGAAGGATTTTTGATAGCTGTTGATCTCTTTCAAAGTTTATTTGTGAGTCTCTGGAGCAAGGCCTGTACATAAACTTATGTGGCACTGGAAGTAGTCAATGTGTATGATTTGACCAGAATTTTTTTGGGGGGGGGGTGTCACACCCAGCAATGCACAGGAGTTACTCCTGGCTCTGCATTCAGGAATTACTCCTGGTGATGCTCAGGGACCATATGGGATGCTGGGAATCAAACCCGGGTTGGCTGTGTGCAAGGCAAACACCCTACACACTGTGGTATTGCTCCAGCCGCTTGACCAGATTATTTTTTAAAATAACTTTTAGACTCATGAGTTCTTCATTTCAATTCTCTTTACCACAGACAGACAGGTAAGGAAAGGGTGTTTTTAGAACATGTGTCATTTCATTGTAAATATGCTATATCAACGTGAAATAAATTTTGGTTTATTCTGTTTATCCTGGAAGGTTTGTCCCCTTATATAGTTCAATTAATACTTGAGGCTCTATGTGCAGAGTTTATAGTTAACACACTTAAAATTTTCTACAACTTTTATTTCTAGGCTTCATAGAGCCCAGTGTGCAATTAAACAGACTCAGGTAACTGTTCAGAAAATTGGAAAGGAAATTGAAGAAAAACTAAGACTCACATCTACAAGCAATGAGCTGGTAGGTTTTTATATATTTACCTGTTCAAACCCCTTGATTTCTTTCGATGATTATTGTCTTCTTGGATTATATTTCCTTTTGGGAAAATCTTTAGGTAGTTGGTTTTTTTTTCTTCATTTTATTCCCCTCTTAATGTTTCACTGAAACTTCTGTTGGCATTTACATGTTAGAAATAAACTTTCCCATCTGCTAATAATGTAACATACAAAGGGCCTGTCTTATTCTGTTAGATGAAACTTTAGATTACATGTAGTTACTTAGAAGATAATTAAAAGCTATTTTATTAATGCCCTGTAAATGTGAATTCTAGACATGAACTGAATAGTGAATGAAAAATAGCTGCCAGAAGAAAAAGAAATAAACTTTAGGGACTAATTTACTTTTTAAGAGATTAATTTAAAAATTGTTTGAGCTTAATGTAATAGGTTGGTGTGTAGACAGTGTTCTCTTTTGAGAAACATTCTTTTAATGAGACATTTCCAAAGAAATAGAAATTTGAATCCAAAATGGACTTATTTAATGTACTAGTGTAATTATGCCTTGCTCTATATTATTCCGTGAAAAAAGTAGAATAAACATTCTATCGTTCTAAGCAAAATAGTGGGTATAAATAATAATAGGTCTAATAAATTGAACCTGTCTTCTGTGAATTATGGTACTTAACAGTTGTAATCCTTAAATTAAGTTGTAGCTGAAAGTTCTTAGGTACTTTTTTACCTCAGTTCATTGTATTAAAAGGTAATTTAACGGATGAGTTAAATTCGAAGAGGCTGGGGCCAGCAAGTTTCAGCAAATGCCACACCACAGTTGTGGTATAGGGGGCAGGGAGCGAACCTGGGTCGCCGGCTGGCAAGGAAAGGGCCTTCCCACTGTACTATATCCACAGTCAAAATCTCTTTGAGCTGACAACGAACCTAGAAATCATTTAGTTCCCTTGTAATCAATTTCTCTTAAAACAAAAGCGCCCTCAAGTTCAGTCTTTTGTTCTCTTCCCTGCCTTGTTTTCCTCTATTGTGTTTTTATTGCTTATTGACATGGTACTTTCTTTATAAATCTGTTTCACCTTTTGCCGTTTTTCTAAGCTCTGTGAGGGGAGGGACTTTTCATTTGTTCTTACATTATATTCTTAAGTGACTGGAGAAAGTGCTCGGTCCTCATTAGGTGCTCAGTACGTATTTGCTGAGAATGAATTGAGAACTCTGGGTTTGAGCTATCTTAAACAGGACAGGAAAATGAGACCTAATGAAAGGAAACAACGTTCCAGTTCTCATTTGACAAATCAGAATGGCAATTTTGGTTAACTTGGCCACTTTCAGGGAATAGTACTGTATACTTCTTGACCGTCTGCATTAAAGTCCTTTACAATGATCCTTTACTTCATTCCATTCTCAAGCTGGCTCAAGGGCATCGTATTCCAAACAAAGTATTTCAGTGGATAAGGATTCATTTTCATTTTAGCCTTAAGTAAACACACAGATGGAAGGTAAGTTTTATGCTGAAAGAAATAAAATTACCTTTTAAGATCAAATAAAATTAGCTCTATTATAAATTAGTTTCATACTTGATGACTTTAAAAGTTTTGGCATCATTTTAAATTACATCAGTGTTCAACTTCATTCTTTTTTGTATCCAGTATGTTCCTCATGAAATTTCTGCTCTTGTCATCTTGATTTTTATGCTTACATGTTTAAGATTTTGTTTCTGTTGGTCCCGTTCTTACGGTTTTTACCACTTATTTTATGATCGAGAAGTACACTGATCTTGAATGTTAGTCCAAATTTACTTTCCTGTGGAAAAGCTCCTCTTGTTTCTGATGACTTAAGTGATTTTATGTCCACTACTAGATTCAGTTTGCTAAATTAAAAGAAAAAATACCCTCACATTGGTATATAGTTTTATTTTCATGTCATCTTTCTTCTGTTTTTGTTGTCAGGATAGTAATGTTATTACAAACTTTGAGTTAGTAATTTGTTTCCTTTTCCTTTTTCTGGAAGAGTATGGTACAGCTGAAGTTATTGAAAGTTTGGTAGAATTTACCAAGGAAATCTTCTGGGCCTGGAGCTTTTCTTGGGGGAGGCAGTATTTTTTGGGGGGTGGAGGACTGTGTCACACCTGGGATTGAATCTGAGGCTTACACATGCATCGCATTCACTTTAGGTCTTTGACCTATATCCCTGGACCTTAGGTTTTCTTTGTGAATGTTGAGCTAGCAAGTAAAATTTTATTTCTTTTTTGAAAGATATCTTATTTTAAAATTTTTAATTACTTTATGTAACATTGTGGTGTACAAAGTTGCTCATAATACAGTTGTTATGGGCCTTCAATATTCTAACACCAGTACCATCACCAGTGTGACCTTTCTTCCACCATTGTCCCCATTTTCTGCCGCCCCCCACCTCTTAGCAGTCCAAAATAATTTCCTTCATATTGCTTGTTACAACTAAATGGTTAATGGAATTATTTTTAAAAAATACTTGAGTAAAAGAAAATATATGAAAATTTTATGTCAGCATGGAGTCATTAAGCCCTGGTCTGAGGGCTTTACAAAACTGTTCATTGCTAGTTGAACCTTTTTTTGTTCATTGAGCCTAGTTGGCATCTGTGTTACTTTCCCATTCAATATGATGTGCTCCTACTTGGGATATCAGTATTGTGGAATTTGGAGGTAGCCATGTACTCCAGGAGCTCCAGGATTGGAAGAACTGGGACTGTTCTTGACCTGCCCCCCTCCCTCCCAAGGGAACCCCAGAATTTTCAGCCCAAAGTCCAGTGTACCTGTGCTTTCATTCACCTGGCATCTTTTCTATGATTAAGGGGAAAGCTTAATAAAAAGCCATGAAGCTGGGCTCTTTACATGGTGGAGGCTGTGGGATGTGAGTGTGGCTGCTCTCAATTCTCATTTTATTGAGAGTTTTTATCATGACTGGGTGCTTGATCTTGTAAGTGCTTTCTCTGCATCTATTGGTATGATCAGATGACGTGGGGGAGCAGCACTGCACTTAAAGATGCTCAGGGGTTACACCTGCCTCTGCACTCAGGAATCACTTCTGGCAGTGCTCAGGGGACTATATGGAATGCCAGGGGTCAAACCTGGGACAGCCAGGAGCAAGGCAAATGCCCGACCTGCTGTACTATTGCTCCAGCCCCATCATATGATTTTTTTCTTCCTATATTGATGTATTGGGTGTTGATTGACTTGCCTATGTTAAATCATTCTTGCATCCCTGGGATGAATCCCACTCTAGTTCATGGTGTATGATCTTTCAGGTGAGTTGTTGGATTTGATTTGCTAGTATTTTGTTGAGGATTGTTGTGTCTGTTTTCATCAGGGATATCTGTCTGTAATTCTCCTTTTTTACATTGTCTCTGCTTTTGATATCACGGTAATGTTTGCTTCATAGAAACTGTTTGAGAGTGTGTTTGTGGTTTTTTTTGTTTGTTTGTTTGTTTGTTTTTTTCTTCAGTTTCCCAAAAGAGCCTGAAAAGGATTGACTCTAGGTCTTCTTTAAAGGTCTGAAAGAACTCACTAGTGAATTCATCTGGGCTTGGGCTTTTGCTTTGGTGGAGACTCTTGACTACCATTTTGATTTTTTTGATAGTGGTAGGTCTGTTTAGGTATTCCGTATCTTCTTGGTTCAGCCTTGGGAGGTTCTCAGAGTCCATCAATTTATTAATTTTTTTCTATGTTCTCTCATCTTGTTGCAAAAGAGTTTCAGAGGAATCCATGATGTTCCTTTGGATTTCTGTGATATCTGTTATGATGTCCCCCTTTTCTTTCCTGATTCAGTGGATTAGCATTCTCTGTCACTCTCTTTCTATGCTAGTGGTGTATTGATCTATTTATTTTTTCAAAGAACCAACTCTTGGTTTCATTCACTTTTGGATTATTCTTTACTATAATTAGTTAATATCTGCTCTAAGCCCTTTTGGTCTCCTTTTGTTGGTTCTTCTCCAGTTTCTTAAGCTGTGTAGTTATTTATGTACGCCCTTTCTTCCTTCTTGATGAATTCTTACATAGCTATAATCTTTTTCTGTGTCCCAGAAGTCTGGTAGCTCATGTCCTCATTTTCGTTTGTTTTCAGGAATCTTCTGTTTTGTTTTGTTTTGTTTTTAAATCTGATTTCCCCTCTGACCCACAGGTTGTTCAGTAGAGAGCTACTTAATTCCCAGGTTTTTTAGTTATTTCTCCATTACTTCTATCTTAATTGCACATGGTCTGAGAAGTTAGTTGACACAATTTCCTTAGTCTCTTGTATTTATGGTGTGTTTTGTGGCCCAGCATAGGTCTGTCTTGGAGAATATCCCATGTGCATTAAAGAATGTGTATTCAGCTTTTGGGGGATGAAAAACTATATATATTATATAGCCCTTTAATTTATTTCTTCCTTCAAAGCCAATGTTTCCTTGTTGCATTTTAGTCTAGTTGATCTGTTGAGCAGTGACTGAGTGGTGCTAAGGTATCCAACTGTTATTGTGTTGCTATCATTGTCTTTCTTCAAGTCTGTTAGCAGTTGTTTTAAGTATCCTGCCAGTCCCTCATTAGGTGCATATATGGTTAGAAGTATGATGTGTACATCTTCCTAATGTCCAGATCCCTTGATCATTAAGAAATGACCTTTTCTGTCTTTTGTAACTTTCTGAAGCCTGCAGTTGATGTTGTCTGATACAAGTATGGCCACCCCAACCTTTTCGTGGGGCTGTTTGCTTGATATATTGTTTTCCAACCTTTGAGTCTGTGTTTGCTCTGACTATTCAAATGTGTTTCTTTTTTTTTTTTTAATATTTATTACTTTATTGAATCACTGTGGGAAAAGTTACAGAGCTTTCGGGTTTAGGTCTCAGTCATGTAAGTATCAAACACATTTCCCTTTACCAATACTTATTTTTAACCGCGAACCCCAATAGAACCCCACCTCCCACCCCTCCCAATTCCTGTGAAGCAGATGAGTTCTAGTTAACACTCTATCTACTTTGACTAGATAGATTGTTTCGATAGAAGA